CCATTTTGGTCACACATTTTTTGGTTTTTATTTGATTGTAATTTTGTTTTTACGACAATTTAAATAATAATTGTTAGCCATCTTGAATGCTTTAATTCTCTGCATAGAAACAGGGACATATAAAATATCAGTACTTCAGGAAGAAAAATATTATCTCACTATGTACTCTGTGTATTTTAATTATAGAAAGGTTTTTTTAAAAAGAAGTAGGTAAAAACCTTGTTCTAGCACCTATGGAGAGTGATATAGTCTTCAAGCTCTCAATAGAGGTAGTTCTCAACTTATCATCACTTGCTTAGTGACCATTGAAAGATTTAATGGACCTATTTGGGGTGGGGCGAACTTATCCAGATTCAAAGTTCTGAAGATGTTCCCATGGTTATGACTACATTTTGAGAACTTGGCAACCAGGCCAGATTTATGGCCAAGCAGCATCCCATAGTCACATGACTGCATTTTTACAAAGTCTTTCCCCAAAAACAGCATTTATTTCTGAATTTTGGCAAAACCAAACCTATGGCAAACCATTGGCTCATTTAATGACCATGACATACACTGAATGACTGCTGCTACAAAAAAGATCCTCCTGAAATAGACAAGGGTTATTTAACACTTTATTGAAGAAGTTTTATTTAACACTCAGAAAGTAGTTTTAAAAATGTAGCAAGTGTTTTACAAGTGTTTAAAATAAAAGAATTCTTCTAAGCGGGAGCTTCAACCCAATTTTACAGACAGGTTTCTGAAGAGAAAGAGGGAATGGCTTCTCCAGAGCTTTCCAGAGATGTTGCGGATTTCAAGAACAGATCCACTGGACCATGGCAGAGTGGTGCGGAGGCCTAGAGATGGAGTTCTCGCCTCAGAATCAGGACGTGGTGAGTTTGATCCTAGGTAGAAGTAGAAATTTCTCTCTCCGGGCACAATGAGGATATATCTGCAGAATATAACTGCATTGGTGACAGGAAAGGCATCCGGCCAATAAACACTCAGCTTCATTCAGTTGCCCAGATTCCACCCCGCAAGGGATTATTAAGATCATTAAAAGGAGATGATTGACTGGACCATGGCAATTGGAAAATATTCTGATTTCATAAGCTTATGTGGAACAATAAGGGTGAAACGCTGACAATTCTCCCTAAGGTCTTCTTCCTCAAATCTGGATCTCCAATTACCCTACTTTTGGAAGTGGCTTTTTGCCCAGGTGATCTTTGAAGTATGTGGGGGGGAAATGGCCATCAGCTTTAGCACCACTTTGATTTCAGATTTACTCTCCAGTTCCTCAACAAATCTGCCACAGTGCTTTAATCCCTCAGACAGAAATATGTGAGCCACAAAAGGGGAAAGTAGAAACTGTTTATTTCCATCATAAAGATGCCTTTTAATATTTCAACATAAATTAAGCTGTGGTTTATGATTATAATAAATTTACCAGGAAGAAAACCAACACTTCATTTGTTGCCCAAGACTGTGGAATGATTTGATTTGCTCCGTTTTTCAGTTTGAGAAAATGTAATTGAGATGGGTGAGGTACAGCTGTTTTAATTGAGTTTCCAGAGTACCTACTGCTGCTAGAAGCAGGAGGTTAATACAGAATAAGAAGGCACACATGCGTGCGTACACACACACACACACACACACACACACACACACACACACACACACAAAACTCTCTATGAGCTGCTGCCATGAGGCTGCCCTTCTTTGCTTCTGGCAAGAGAAACCAATTCTAGATTTCCCCTGACCCCTGGAGGAAAAGGCCAGACATCACAGATGCATAACGTTTTGGGAAAATAATCACCCCCTAGGGACAAATCAAGGACACAGAAGAGCAAAGAGCCATAGGAGAGAACTTTTGCATTAGAACAATCAATTAAAAATATATCCCATGTTAAAAACAAGTGGAGAAGATCTCAGCTGTTCATACTCATCCAAGGTATGCTCTGGATTTCCCTATCCTGTTCCCTGCAGTTCTTGATTATGGGGTCAATGAAGAATCCGCAAGAACAGAAATAATCCTATTTCACATTTCTACCTCTTCTTTTGAAACTTTTTAAATGCAACTTACAACTATTACTGGAACTGGGTCACTTGCTTATTGATGGCATTGGGACAGTGACTCCAGCCCTGAGAAGGAACTCTCCAAACTTAGGGACTAATGGAAGGCACTGTTATTAGATCCATGGAAAAATCTGGTTCCTATTCATGCAGAAAGCAAGCCACATTTATCTAGAGCAGGGATGGCTAGGAAATTCTGGGAATTGACACCCAAAGATCTTAAAGTTGCCAAGGTTGTATACCCCCCTGATCTAGAGACTTGTTCTGAAATCAGGAAACAACTACTACAATGTTGTGTTTTACAACTTTCTGAGCAGCTTTTGGGGTAGCTAATGTTGGTTGAAAATAACAGTTAATACAACATGGAATTGGGAAGGAGCTGCCTGGGGAAGTTCTGCAAAGCCTCCCAGGAGCTTTGAAGTTACCACTGACAGTGCATTTAAGTAAATGATAGGAAATGAGTGCACTTGAAGCCTGTGGTTTCCTCTTTTCAGGAAGGAAAAATGAGCTTCTGTTTAACAGAAGACAGTTGCAGGAATTCTGCTTTTCCTGAAATCCATCCCTTCTTGCCTGTGATGGCAAACCCTATTTTCAGAAGGTTCTTCTGAGCTGAATGTCAAGGATGAAGGTCAAAACAAATGGAGAAGAGAAGAAAACCCTGTGAAGATTTGAGAGGGATAGATGTATGAAATGAGTAACCCTTCTATCCAGAAGAAAAAAGAAATAAAATATATGGTGAATTTTTTTAGGTGAAATAAGGCACATTTTATCTTTCAAATCATGCAAGGCCTTAAGTAGTAATAGCCACAATGTGCATTGTGTATGGGTGATTCCTAAGGCACAAGAGATTTTGTTCTTAAAATATTAGCAGTCATCCCATCTTTGCTGGTATTTTGTTATGCCAAGGATAGATTGGAGCAGCATCTGACAGCTCTTAACATGACTCTCCGTGATCTCTCTTCTGCCGCTTAGGAAGGTTTATGGCAATTGCAGGCAAGAATGACAGAAATGAACAATGCTAAATCTATGTGCTTGTTGGGATAGTAGATTTCCTATTTCAACGGAGGGTGGATATGTTTTTTTTTTTAAACCAAACTATTTTCGTTGTCCCTGAATCAGGACACAAATCTGACTCTTTTGGGTTCAGTCATTAAGAGCTCCCCGCAATCTGGTGTCTGAAATCCAGCCTTATCCATTTGCAAGCTTTGCAGGTTGTGTACGTGACTCTCTGATGCACCAAAAGGGCTGCCAAGAACAGCCTGACATCGAGAGGGTGCTGTCATCAGGTCTTGATGTGCCTGCAGCAAATGTCCCTGGCTGCCAAGCCTAACCTTATGCAATCTAGCAAAGACACGGCCTTCTTCTGAAGAAAGTGGCGTTTCACTGAAGAAAACATTCTCTCTGTGTGTGTGTATGTATGTATGTATGTATGTATGTATGTATGTATATTTTCTTATATATATTTTCTTAAGTTTTCGCGGGTACTTACATGTATGGCATTCGGCTTTGTTCGGGTATTTTCCCACGTCATTATAGTTGTGCTTTTAAAGTTGTAGCAACGTTTTGGCAGAATCTCATCTGCCATCATCAGGCTTCTGTATTGGGTTCATCTGTGAGTCAAACTTTCAGTCGTTTCTGTTTTAAATTTGGTGCTAGCCTATGCTGTGCCAGAATGGTTTTTCCTTAATCCTGATTGGTTGGGAGTCTTGGTCTGTGTTTATTGGTCTTGGAGTTTGCTGTGTTCTGCTTGATTGGTGTTTCAAGTATCTTCTGTTTTGTGGCTTTTTTTGTCTTGATTGGCTGGCAACATTGCGTTTCCTGTATTGGAGGCTTTTAGTGCAGCTTGGCTCAGAGTAAACAGATGGCTATCATTTATTAGGAAGCTAGGCTTCATCTGGGTGCCTGGTTGGGGTGTGTTTGAGCTGGAGGTATCAGGGGGGATCTGTTTGTGCCCAGGTGTTTGCCTGGCTTGTGGTGTGGAGATTTTTTTGTTTGTGAGTGCAGGCTTCCAAATAATGGACAATCTGGTGGAATCATCTCTTCTATTCATGCTTTCAGGTCTTTTTTCAATCTCTATGGCTTCTCTAATAATTCTGTAGCTGGGGTTTTCTATAGTGGCTAGGGTTTTGGTGCCATTGAAATCGTTGCTATGACCTGTGGTTTTCATGTGTTGGACTAGTGAGGAAGTGTGTTCCAGCTTTTTTACTGCATTTTTGTGTTCATCTAGGTGGGTACTTATTCCTCTATTGGTCTGTCCAATATATGTGGCAGGGCATGATTCACAGGGGACTTCATATATGCCTTGGTTTTCCAGGTCAATTTTATCTTTGGGGTTTCTTAGGATGGCTGCTATTTTTCTGTCTGTTTTGAAGGCAGTCTTGATGTGATGCCTGTGTAGTATCTTACTGATTTTTGTCTGTAGTACCTCTTATGTAGGGCAGGACAGCTGTTCCATAGGTCTGTTCATCTTCTAGGTCTCCATTATGTCTCAGTGTGTTTTTGTGGATCAAGCCAGTGATTTGGCTTTTGTGGAAGCCGTTAGCTGTCACTACTTTAGTCAGGGTGTATAGTTCAGTCTTTATGTGTGTCTTGTCTGCCAGGCGTTAAATAAACACAGACCAAGACTCCCAACCAATCAGGATGAAGAAAAAACCATTCTGGCACAGCAGTAGGCTAGCCCCAAATTTAAAACAGAAACGGCTGTGAAAGTCTGACTTACAGATGAATACAATACAGAAGCCTGATGATGGCAGATGATATTCTGCCGAAACGTTGCTACAACTTTAAAAGAACAACTATAATGATGTGGGAAAAGCTGAATACCATACACATAAATACCCGCGAAAACTTAACGTGTGTCTATGTGTGTGTGTATTTTAAAGCACAGCCGCTGCCAATCTCTGCAACAAAAGCAATTTGGGCTTTTAAAAAAATCATTCTACTTAATAATTCTTTTTAAAAAAAACCAAACACCGCCAAATTTATCGACTAACCTTGGTGAATATCAAATTTTATATAATGGGTGCAACCAGCCTGGAGAAGAGCATCATCACCCACCTGCTTGGAAGATGAAATTTAATAACAGAAAAAAGCACTTTCAACACCTCTATAGCCAAAGGAAAGAAAAAATAATACTTTCTTTATGCGGATAACTTTGTGATTTGTGACCCAAATGCCTCTTGTGACTTTGTATCAACAGCAGTTGGAGAAATATTGCTTCTCAGCAAAGCTTTATGGGCCCAACTAGAAGCAACTGAAATCCTGTATTTTGTCCATCATGTATTCAGTTGGATGTAGATATCAGATTTAAGATCCAAATATTGTAATAGGTGATGGAGGTTGGGAATTCTCTTTCAAACTCCCCTGTCCCATTTTTCCCCCAGAAGGCATAGTTATCATATAACAGCCTGATTCAAGAGAAAAAGAGAACAGCACTACACCTAGAATACTGCTTCCAGTTCTGGGCATTGCATTTTAGTGATGACTTTGACAAACTGCTATTTACTCATTTAGTTTGGTTTACATAGCATCCCAAAACAGCAGCTAGGATGACAAGGAACCTGGAAGGAAAACGTTATGAGGAGATAGATAACCTGGAGAAGAGAAGACTGCAGGGAATTGTCTTTAAGTAGCGGAATGACTGTCGTGTAGAGAGGGAATTGTTTTTATTTATTTATGTATTTATTAATCAAATGTATATGGCCACCCACCTCACAGGAAGTGACTCTGGGTGGTATACAGCATTGTTCAAAGTTATTTCAGAAGACAGAATGGCAAACGATGGAAGGAATTAGTAATGGATCATCTGAATTTCCTTATAATAGGAACTGCTAAACAGATTCCTTCAGATGATGACCGACTTCACAAGAGGTGTTTGCACAGAGTGTGGATAGCTATAAGCTCTGAGGCTATATAGCTGAACCATACCCTGGGATGTCATTGGACTCAACAATCTCTAAAGTCTTTGACGTTTACATTTTATGATGTGATCATCAGTTTAAGGAGAGAGAGAAATGAGATTTCACTGCCTGGAGTTCATGATTTAGCAAGAGTTAGGAGGCATCGTTTGTAGTATTCTGACATTAAGTGGAATGGCTTTCAGAACAAGTCTCTTTCCACTTTCTATAGTTCCCCTCTCTCCCAATTTATAAAATTCTGTAGATAAATTTAATCATAACATATTGCATCAAGACAATATCAGCTGCTCTCCACATTTATCAAAGTAGTCCTTTAGTAAGTAATCAACATTTTCACACCCATAGAGAAAGCACAGGGCCTGCCCTGCTGCTGTGACACTAGCATGATTCTGTTAGCAGTATAGAGAGAAAATAAAGCATTATACTGGGAAACATTCCTTATTACTTATCAAGAGGTGGCTTTGTATCAACCAAGTGTATAGTTCATGATAGGACCTCCTGCTCAGACCCATGTTGTACATAGACAAATTGAGGAGGGAAATCTCTGAGCTAAAATAACCACAAAGCTTAAAGCTTGGCAAGTTTCAGTCACAGGACTGCTTTATATGAAAGAAGGCAACCTGGAAAAGTGTTGGGAAGGCTGAGAAACAAATGGGGGAAACAATCAAAGCAGGACTAGGGGAGAAGGGGAAGTGGTGGGGCTCCTCTACCCATTCCAGAGTGCTTAGGTTGCCACATACAGCATGCAATATTAACTGTTATGAAACCAAGTTCCATCAGTTGCTTTCATTTTGCTCCTAATATTCAATGAGTTGGTAGGAGAGAAAGTCACTTCAGAAAGAATATGAATGATTAGGGAAGCAGCTCTGAGTAAGTAATTTGCTTGAGTCATTGGCTATTGGCTTGACTACTAAAAGCAAAACTTTTAGTAAAACTGGTCTTTTCCATCATGTGAGGGATTAGATGCACATCCAACAGTCTCTGACATCTTCTAATAAGAGAGGAAAATACCCTGCTTAAAAAGTGGTCGTAGCAGCCTGATGTCCAATTGTTTTGTGCATGAAATGGAAAATCAGAATCTGAAAGGGAGCTGAACAAGTAGCAAGGTGCCTCAAATGAGCATCAAGCTCAATATTGTATTAGTAGTTTAAAAGTGTAATCTTAAATTAGCTTAAAAATATCCTTATGAGGTGCAATACCTGGAACTGAAGTCTTAGAGATCATCTTAACCAGCAATATTGCTCCATCAGTTTTTTGTTTCACTTAAAATGATATTTGCAGTCACAAACAAAAAACAAAAAAGTCCCCAGAGCAGCACAAACCCAATCCAGAAGGTGTGCCGGAAAGGGGACAAATGTTTATTGAGTGTGCTATTTCTAAAGGTCATTTGTGTTTCCTTCCGACTATAGTACGCTAAAAAAGCAGGAATGATGTACTGGATCCCATTTCCAGCATAGGCACCAGTGATTCCCACCAAGGATTCCAGATCATGAGTACAGAAAGCCACAATAATTGGAGGAATTAGTGTGATGACTGGGAAAAAAATCCTGTCCACTACCCATGGGTAGGTTCCCCCTTCTCGGTGGAAGAGAGTTTTCCAATTATTTCTTAAAGTCACAGCAATTATAGGAAAGTTTGTACTGATGGTGAAGACTGGGAAGAGTCCCAGGAAGTAGCGGATAAAAGCAATGCTGATGATGTCACAGTTTGTGAAGTTGAGTGTGTACATGTCCATTAGAGTCCCATTGCGGAAACAATAGATAGCAGTGAAAGACAGAAGGCTGTAGAAACCCAGGATCAAGGTGTAATCCAGCAGGACTAGCTTGTTAACATGCTTCTTCTTGGAGATGGGAGTGATGAGGGATGGCAGGGAGTGCTGACACATGAAGGAATAAACGCAGACTCCAAAGAGATTCCGTACTCCTGAGAGCTGAGCCAGAGGGGGGTGACCTTCCCCTTGACCCTTGGTGATTCGGAGGAGGGCCACAATGATCATGATGATGAATGCTGAAACAAAAAGAGGGAGGGGGAAGGGAAGAAGAGAGAAGGAACAGAGTTAAGTCAGAGAAGGAGACAGGATCCTAACTTTTGTAACTTTCCCCCCTCTAATCTTGGAGGTCTTCTAGTCCAACCCCCTACTCAGGCAGGAAACCCTATACTATTTCTCACAAATGGTTGTCCAATCTCTTCTTGAATACTTCCAATATTGGAGCATTCACAACTTCTGGAAGTAAGTCGTTCCACCGATGAATTGTCCCAACTGTCAGGAAATTTCTCCTTAGTTCTACGTTGCTTCTCTCCTTGACTAGTTTCCACCCATTGCTTCTCGTCCTACCCTCAGGTGCTTTGGAGAATAGCTTGACTCCCTCTTCTTTGTGGCAGCCCCTGAGACACTGAAACACTTAACGTGCCACCTCTAGTCCTTCCTTTCATCAAACTAGACATACCCAGTTCCTGCAACCGTTCTTTATATGTTTTAGCCTCCAGTCCCCTAATCATCTTTGTTGTTCTTCTATGCACTCTTTCTAGAGTCTCAATCTTTTTTATGAGTTACGAGTCATGAAGGTTTATCAGTACATGAACAATCCACCTGATTGTACTGAAGATTGAAAAGGGGTTATATAAGGCTCTGCTTAGGCTCTTCTAAATACCACTGTTTGTCCTCCGGAGCACCTATTTCACATTTGAATTGTACAAGAATGTACACACGGTCCCTTCATTTGAGGGTTCTTGTCTCGTTTGTGCTAATAAAGTTGCATGAAAAAAAACTTCTTAGCATAAACATATACCACTTCAGATGAAAAGTCATTTAAAAAATTGCCTCTGGCAGCGCAAGAGCACATGCCCTGTGGTTCAGGGCAGCATTTGTTAAATTTTTAAAAAACTGACAGGACAGGAAATCTTGCAAATGGTATAAAGAAATCACCAACATTGTTCTGAATCAACAACAATCAAATTTGCTGCCTGTGGCTAACTGCAATCACAACAAACTTAGGTAAGTTATCATTTATTGTGCTTTTTATTTTCTATTATTTTCCTCTTTCTTTTTTGCATAAAAATACATACACCTTAGAAGATGTACCATTGTAGTTTATTGTTTCATAATAAAATCTTTCGCTCTAAGGAACTAGCTCCCCTCAGCTCCCACCTGGATTCTTTCAGTACTGATTTTCATCATGTATGCCCAATGTGAGCAGACTTCTGTCTTACAGAATTTACTCTTTTTCTTCATGAGAATTTCAAGACCTACCAATTGTAGGGACAAGGTGGCTCAGCTCAAAATACCCCAAATGGAATTAAGGAGCAGTGAGTTACTGAACATAGACGTTAGGCTCTGGATTTGATTTCAATAATGTGTGAGCTTTCACAAAAATCCATTTCAGATTACTGCCTCCTCAAACTGGTCTACCTTCTGTTGGTCACCTGGTTTAGTTAATGTAGCAAATCTAAGATCAAATAAGACTACAGTATTTTTAGTTTGCTCTCAATCATCTATACTTTGGAGGCAAGGTATTTACTCCACACTTCAAAGGGGCTCACTGTTTCAAGATCACAAAAGCATCCCACATAACCTAGGACAAATCCACCTGTATAAAAATGTTAACTGTAAACAAAACTTAAAGCTAATTTTCTTGGGATTCATAATGACATGTTTCCAATAACTGATAATAGTATTTACAGCCACTTTTAACCCCAAAGACTCATTTTCTTAAAAAACAAACAATCAAACTGTTGTAATATAAATAGGGCTGCTGCTGTGTTGTATCTGTTTTTAATCTTCAGATGCAATGTACTACAGGTCATAAATTACTTCAAAACATCAGAGAACCCAGTAAATAGCTAAAAACATGAAGGCTGAAATTAAAGATTGAATTCTATAACTTGTGCAAAAAAATTAATGAGACTCAACAACACAGAACACAGAAACAAAAAGACTAGCCGGCACAAATTCCTAGCTATACTTATCTACCTGTTTCTAAAAACAAAAACAACAAACAACAAAAGCTTCCTAAAGTAAATATTTTGCCACTTCAATTACTGCTTCAACTTCTGCAGCTTCTTGGAGAGGTTCCTGGGAGCATAAAAACTCTGTTAGTTATCCAACAACTTTGTTATTTAAAAAAAACAAAACTAAACATGTCTTTTTAAAAAAAAACCAAGTTTTATTAATTTTAAAAAACAATACACAAACAAACAAAATGTAGAATAACATAGAACATCTTTTCTAAAAAAACAACAACAAATAAAACATCTTATTTAAAGACAGGATAATTCCAAATTATCACATTTCCATACCAATACAGTTTAATATGTATATTCATCTTATCTGTTCAACTTCATATCTTTTCCCAACTTCTCTTTATTTCTCCCTTTCCTTCTATTCAATTATATTTCTTTTACTTAAAATTGTACATATTCATTATATCCATCTGTCTTATTTAAAATTTCATTGTTCTCTTCTAACGTCTCTTCTTCTAACGTTTTGGTAAACAAACAAAACACAAAACATAAATATATAAAACTTCTTTTTGGAAAGCGGCTTACCCCAGGTAACATCTTTTTGTACAGACATAAATCAAATTCATGCTCAGTAATATACTATTTCATATCTTATTTAATATTCTATATTTTCTATATATTTTCTCTCTTCATTCACTCTCTTAATTCTTTATTTATTTATTTCATCTCAGTTTAAATAATTATACTTGCATCTTTTGTCCGTTCTCTTTCAATTATCTATTTTTCTTTTCTTTCTAATACAATATTTCTCCTGTAATGACTGGTTGAAGTATGACAACTTTTTATCTTTCCCCTAAATTTAACACTTAAAATAATACATACTTTCCATACTGATTCTTCTTAGTACATTCTAAGTATCACATTTTAGAATAATAAAACAAAAAGAAAAAAAAGAGGATTAAGTTTATGAAATAGTAAAGACAATATTCCATAGGAAGTTAAACTCTATTGTTAAATCTTAAACATTTTTATACATTCCCTTTAATACATTATTAACTCATATTATATTTCAGTTTTCTAACTCAATTTCAAATACTAATATCTATAATACAATCTTATGTACTTTTGCAGAATCATTTTTTAAAGTTATAGTTTACCCTTTATCTCTGAAAAAACCTGTTTTTTAACATCTTGTTTTAAACCTTTATGACTTCTCTTTCCTTTTCCCCTTCCTTTCTTATCAATTCTAGCCTTTTTACCCCCACATCTCTCAAACTCCATTCTCTTAAATCTTTCCTCTCTGTTGTATTTCTCTTTTCTGTTGCTTTCTGACATTGTATTGATTTTTCATCTTATTTTTCCCTTCTTTGGTTGCTTTTTTAGGTTCTAAATTCTCCATTTTATTTCCCTCCTTCCTCTCTTCTTCCTCAACTAAGATTATCTGTCCATTAAAGATGGCTTCTTCTTCTCCATCCCAGCTTCCTTGTTGTTGTATTTCTTGGTAGGTAGAAATTGCCACTTCTAAAAAATGAAAAATAGATACAGAAGAGCCCTTGCCTTCTTGTTCCTCTTCTTTTAGCTTTTGAAATTCCATTTGTAATTCTTCCACTGATAATGACATTTTTTTTTCCTTAAAAACAACCTAAATGTTTTTAGTCTTTCAAGAAATAGTTCCCAAAAATCCCAAAGTCACAAAGCAATCCAAATCAGAACAAATTGTTTCATTTAGCACTTTCTTCTTTTTATATTTTTTCTTCTTGGGGTAGAATTCAGTTACACAGTTCCAAAGTAAATTTCTAGAAGTCTAATTGCCACTTATTTCTGATCTTATAAACTCCAAGCAGTCTCCTTCAATACAATCTTTAAAAAGTTCTTTACCTCTTCCCTCCCACTTATAGCAAAATTCCAATATTCAGAAATCTTTTATCCCCTTGGCTTTAAATTTCAGGTTTAGTTACCTTCTGTGCCCAAGCAGATTTTTCCAATTTCCATCAACTATTTCCATGGGGAGGGAGAGTGAGAAAAAATAACTTTCCCTTTTAAATCTTCTTCCGCCGCTTTCACACTCCTTGGGAAACAATGTGTCATTCAAACAATTAAATTTCCAGGGTGTGTCAAGGTTCCTTGCTGTCCTGGGTTCACCCAAAAAACTTTCACTTTCTCCAACTTCCTCCTGCACAATCTTACCCCGTTGCAGGCTTCTTTGTGGTGGCCATTACTGACCGCCACTCCACCGCCTTGGGAAAAAGGAGTTTTGCCAGCTGAGGAGGGGGTTTGCGATACTCCCAAGCCCCTGTCCAGATCTCCTCTCTCTTCAGCTGCCTCTCTGGGGCAACCATATCCTCCAGATCCAAATGGATCGGAGGCACTTCGGCGGCGAGCGCAGCAGGGACCGCACACAATCGCAGATTCCTGCCGCCACCGAAGCCTTGCAAACCGGAAGTCCGAAAACTAAACATGTCTTTATCCAACAGAGAAAGCAGTTGGGTATCTGGCACTGAATATTGTATTTGACAAAGGGCTATTTCACAGTTGTAGACTGTGAATCTTTAAGTCTGCATTCTGGCATGCAGACTATATTCACAATATTCTATTTTATTTTACTTCTACTACTTTTTTACTTTTGTTCTACAAGGAACAAAAAAGATGTCTGTTCCTGCAAGGGGAAAATGTCCAAATACCAGCTTCTGGATGCTGGTGCCTCATTAGGAACCACAGAATTGTGTCCTTAATTTGAAAATCATTCTGCAATATTTGTACAACCCTTTCTGAATTTCTGAATAGAAAAATCTGCCTGTCCAACCAGATCTGATAGGGTGCGCCCATTTCACATCTGTTCTTTTAAATGCTGTCACTTCATGGGATTTAAGTTGTGTACCTTCTCCACAGCAGCCCCTGTCCTGTGGAATACCCTTCCCATTCAAATCCAGCAGGCTCCTACACTCCTCACATTCTGGAAGTCTAAAAAGTTGGTTCTTCCCATGAGTATTAGGGTACTAGAGTCCATTGCATCTTTGATGGTCTGCTGCCTTTGGAGAGCCAGGATT